AATCCCGGTGCGAAATACTCGAATCCAGGCCCAAGATATCCTACGTTTTTTCGAGAACATTTTTTCAGTAATATTTATGACCGTTACCTTCACCATTGGTAACATTGTAGCGCACTTCTAATGTTTATCGAGTATATGTGAAAAGGAGGAGAAGAATGCATGTGACTTTTCTTACTATTCTTATCTTTGAATGTCGATGTAAAAAAAAAAGTAAAGTGTCTTCGTCAATAAATCATATGAGTGGCATACCACCAAGGTAGGTTACTTAAAAGAGATAAGAATAACACATGCAGTAGATTAGAGCCAATTTTCAAAAACAAAACTTTGGTTGTAACAGTTGATTCAATCAGAATGACACCTGGTATCGATAATATCGTTGGAATTTATCGTCTTCATACAGGACAAAAAAACTATGCAACTCCGTTGTTGTTCAAAACGTATGCACAATGGTCTTTTTTACAACAAAAAGCATTTGATTATCTTATCTGGTCTACTTTAGCTCATGCACTGGAGTTTAGTGTTGCACTTTTATGTTGGCTTTGGATATTTCCAATAACATTTTCTGAAGCAAATGAATGGCATTTTAAATGGGTATCTCGAGTTTTTCTTTATAATTTAGCATGCGAATTTATTTTTTATTCATTTTGGCATTATATGACTCAATCACGTCGAAGTCCATATGCTCAAGGACCATTACATGAAAAAAAATTTAATCCAAACAATCCGTATGAAGAAAAAGGTCAACATCATTTATCAAGAGAAATGACATTTACAACACTCGGTTGGTTACAATCAGCTTTTGTTCAATGTGTTTTTATGTGGTTATGGGCTAGTGGACGATTACCTTATTATAGTGATTTTTGGTCTCGCCCATTCTTTTCAATTTTTATTATTTTGTGTGTTGGTCTTTGGAGAGAATTTCATTTTTACTGGGTAAGTTAGATGATTAGTTTTTAGTTGTAAATCTATTTCATTTTTATAGATTCATCGTTTTATGCACCCATGGTGGTCTGTTCAAAATGGATTACGTCAAGGTGATATTGGTGCATTTCTTTATCGTCATGTTCATAGCCTTCATCATCAAAGTCGTAATCCTGGTCCATGGTCTGGTTTATCTATGCATCCAGTCGAACATTTCTTCTATTACACATGTGCATATTTTCCTCTTCTTTTTGCATGCCATCCACTTCATTTCCTTTTTACAAAATTCCATGCGGATATTTCACCAATTGGTGGTCATGATGGTCATGATAAGCCAGGTGGTGGCTCAGATTTTCATTATTTACATCATGCGTTTTTCGAATGTAATTATGGAACTCCATTAATGAATTTTGATCGTGTATTTGGTACCTACAAAGAATTTGTTAAGAAACCGTCAACAACTGATGGGCATAAAGATTAATTATTGCCCATTATTATTTTTCAAAATTATCAAGAAAAATAACTCTATTAAATACTTATATTGCAAGTTTATTTAAAAAATAAACCATATCTTTTTCAGATCCTGGATGACATTATTCCATATAAATGCATTTCAGCAAATTGAGTACAATAATTACCATGTCGCTGTGATGTAACTATCATACGATAATCATTGCAGATCATACTTATAACCGGTGAAGTTTTTTTTCACTGAACAAGACCGACCGGTTCCAAGTCTTGATTTAACTGGCAAAAAGCCAGTCTGTTTAGTATATTAATTAATTAACTAGTTCTTTTGAGAAATGATTATTACTACAGTTTCACAAAGACATAGAATGTGAAACTCATACCTCTTAAAAGGATATCGCTAGATAATGTTGTAAATCTGCCATTCCTCGGTTTTCATTTTTAATATGGTAGGAAGATAGAACTTGAAGCTCTCCACATTTTTGTATATTTTGTTTTGTTTTTAATTGAATACAGAACAACTTTTCGAAAACCATTTAGTCTCGAGGGTCTATGACTCTTTTATAGATTTCCAGCGTTCCATACGATAACTGTACAGGGTTGCCAAAAATGTTTTTCCAAATGGGTAGCGCTGTGATTTCAAATAGCATCATCACCAAATTTTATACCAAATTAAAGCGCATCAAAAAATGGGATTTAACAGAAATAAATAGTGAGAGTTATGGCGACTTCTCGGTGTCGAATTGAGGAAATCCCTAGAATCTGACACCATATCGGTATAGCAAACGGGTGTGAGTGTGAGTGTGGATGTGATGGGTGTGGTGGGTGTGGATGTGGGTGTGGGTGTGGGTGCGATTAAAGAGAAGAATAACACCCACCCACACCCACCACACCCACACTCACACCCAACCACACCCACACCCACCATACCCACACTCACACACCACACCCACATACCCGCACCCACATATCCACACCCTCCCACACCCACACCCACACCCTACTGATATCTTATAACTGCTTGATAGTAAGTTGATTAAATAATCTATGCGAATCTTGAATAGTTTGCTGATGCTATGTGCAAGAACAGTAAAGTTCGATATCGTTGAAGAAGTAATTAGACCCTCTGAACGTCGTTTTGATATATACTTCGTATCTTAATGAAAATTTCAGTTTTTATTGAATAACCATATTTGAAGAAATAAAGAGTTGAGCATAAATAAGCTAATAAGATTTTCGGGTTCCAAAAGTTGAACCCGCATAGGACTTTAACCCACACGCAAAAATAAACAACTACTTGAAAACCTTCAATTAAAAATAGTTCTTAAAATTCAATGAATTTGATTGATTAATAGCTTCTATGTGATATGAGAAACATATCTTTGGTTTGCATGTTTGATTTACTTTTGATGATCTTGACGTATTTAATATCTTATGAAATGAATGGAGTCATTGATATATACAGAGTAACCTCTTTTGTTTGGAAAAATAATAAAGCATATGTACAAGGTGCACAAAAAATATTTTTCCAGGAGGATAACACTATAAGTATAATTAGTATTCATAACAAAATTTGTACCAAATTAAAGTGTGCGAAAAATGGGATTTACCAGTACTAAATAGGAAGAGTTATGAAATTTTTTCAATAAGGAACTCGACAAGTTTCAAGAATTTTATGCCTTATAAGCGAAGAAAAATTACTTTTATGGTGTAGTTCTAACTAGATCTAATCTGACATAATGGTTATCGCAAAGTAGTCTGTATCTGGCCTAAAAGTATCGAAATAATGATCGAAAATGAAGTGAAAAAATGTTGTCAGAGACGAAACATAACCGTTATCACGAAGCAACACTGAAAAAAAATACATTTTAAATATTTTGACAAATACAACAATAAACATTCACCTATTTGGGACTCTCTTATATTTCTATCAGTTCCAATTTCGTGCTATATAGAACACCAATAGTCGTCATATTGAATATTGTTTATATTCATTAAATCTCAAAAAAAAAAACAATTACTTTCTGAATATCATTATCTTAAATTAGATCTAGTTTGAACTGCCTCACACAAAGAATTTTTCTCAGCTAATAAGGCATAAATTTATTGAAACTTCTCGAGTTCCACATTGAAAAATTTTCATAATCCTTATCAGTTAGTACTGATAAATCCCATTTTCAAAGCGATTTAATTTGGTACAAAAATTTGTTATGGACGCTGATTATAATCATAAAATTACCTTCCTCCCTGAAAAAATATTTTTAGGCAATCTGTATTATAAACATTCAATATCTCAGTTCAATGTAATAGTCTGTTTCAATGAATGTAAATCAAACAAAGCGCGTGATCAGCGAAGAAAGTCAAAGAATGTTAGCTATTCATATCTTGTTTCTCCAGATGATTTTCTTATCGATAAACATTTCTTTCTTTTGTGGTAGGCTCTAAGTTACGTAAGGGTAACGTTAGAGAAAAACAAGTTGTCATAAATAACAATGAAAGTATTCATATAGTTGCTTGTCTTTCTCATGAATGAAGTAAACATAAATAATAAGCAAAAAAAAACAGATTTATTTATATACAGGTAATGACTCACTTCCACGCTCAACAATGCTAGGTATCGGGTATACGGTTAGATCCAAATAGATGAATGCTTTCGGGCAGTCTTCTGTTAGATTTTTTTTCAAATACTAAAAGTTAAACAGGTTTCCGAAAAAAACGGATTTTAAATAATTTTTTAAGGATAAAACAGATGTTTAAATTACTATGACTTCAGTCTTCATTGGTTTTCAGTTGAGATTCTTGAAAACTAGGCACAGTTCATATCAAACATACTGATTGAAGTTTCATATTATTAACTAACGGGTGATGCAAAAGTTTTTGCAAAAATGTCGCACCATTTTTCGTTAGCTAAAACATTTTTCAGAAAAATTTAAAATACCTATTCGGAATCTATGTTGAAAGGAGTTTTTACCTGTGTGGTTAAAATAATCCTATAATGTCTCTCCTCTGGATACCAAACACATCTTCGAACAACACTAAAATTTAGTCGGCAAAATCAGCTCGTAACAGGTATCGTAGAAGAAGCTGATTTCTCAATATTTTTTTGATTTTTTCCTGTATTCTATTGTATTTTGGTGCTTTTTTAGATTCGCCGTTTAATTCTCTACAAAAAGGGTAGAAGAAACTCTGAAAATAGTGAGTGGTCGATAATTTTTGCGACAGTCGCTCGGAGCCGTTTTTCCTTTCCAGATCAGATTTTAATGCTGTTCGAAAATATGTTTGGTATCCAAAGGAGAGACATTGTAGAATTATTTTGGTCACACAGGTAAAAAGTCCTTTCAACGTAGATTCTGAATACGTATTTTTGGCTTTTCTGAAAAATGTTTTAGCCGACGAAAGACGGTGCGAAATTTTTGTTTTGCAAAAACTTTTGCATCACCCGTTAATTATATACTTAAGGGAGGCTCTAAAACTATATCGAAGGCATCGTTCTTTTGAAAGGCCTTTTGATATCGAGAATTTTACTCAAAATTACCATTATCAGTTACGTCTAATAGAATTTTTAAAATAAATCTTTTTTTTCTGTTCGGCTTGGTCTAAATTCAAATAAAAAACTGAACAAAACCCATCTCTGGATGATGTAAGGATGGGTGTGAGTGTGGGTTTAGAAGAAAACAGGGCCCATATCCACACCCTCAAAAAAATATTTGAATGATTACGTCATCAAGTACATGACATTTGTGCGCACGACTCTAATGCTTAAAATGAGTTTTAATTTAAAACTCTTAGATCAAGTTCTTCAGCACATTAGCAAACATCTTTTTGCCAATTAAAATATCTGACACATTTTCTTTTATGCAAACAAATTCTCCAATAATATTTTGCGATGGAATAAAAGTTAAAGCTGCGAAATTTTTCATTGCACGACGACTAATGGTATTTTTAAGGAATTCTTTTTTCAAATGTAGCTTCTACTAGAAAAAAACATCTTGCACGTTAGAATTGTGCGCGCAAATGTCGTGTCAGATGTTTTTGATGATATATTAGCTAGGATTACCTCAACATTTCAACAGATTCATACAGTTTCTTTGACAATATTTCCATTATACTAAAAGTCTTTTCTCAATTCCAGTACTTCAAATAGAAGGTTAAAGATAGTCGAAAAATAAATTAACTAATAAAGAAAATCGATAGAAAAGAAAACAAAATAAATAATTTTTTGATTAGCTCCATCCTCTCTCGAGAAAGAAAAAACAAAGAAAACAACCACTATCATTTAGAAAAACTTGCAACAATGTTGATTTTGCAAAAATTCAAATGAAATTTTCACTTTTTTCTCTCTATGCTCTTTCTTTTTGCTTATTTTATTCTCTTCTTTCTCTCTATTTTAGTCCATCCATTACCCATTGACATTCATCCGAATGCTACATGACAACAAAATGGTATTACTGTGGTTGGAGAAAATGGACAAGGCAATAGAAACAATCAACTCTACCAACCATTGGGCTTGTATGTTGATGAAGATCAAACAATCTATGTCGCTGATACATGGAATCACCGTATTGTGGAATGGAAATCTGGTGCGACAAGTGGCCAAGTGGTTGCCGGTGGAAATGGACAAGGAAATAAGGCTCATCAGTTGTCGAACCCAGCAGATGTGATTGTCGACAAAGAAAGAGATAATCTCATCATTTGCGATTATTCGAATGAAAGAGTGGTTCGATGGCCTCGTCGAAATGGGACAAGTGGAGAAACAAACATCTCAAACATCTCTTGTGTGGGTTTGACAATGGACGAGAACGGCTCTCTCTATGTCGTTGACCACGGAAAAAAAAGATGAAGTAAGACGATATCGAAGAGGAGAATCTCAAGGAACAGTGGTTGCAGGTGGCTATGGAAGGGGAAATCGTCTCGATTAACTCTATTTGCTACGATACCTATTCGTCGATCGAGATCATTCAGTGTACGTGTCTGATTCTGGAAATAATCGTGTGATGAAATGGGTGGAAGGTG